GTGGCAGAATACCAACTCAAATCTGTTTCTTTAGCTAAATTTTGAGCCCTTCTTTTGAGTCAGTGGTTCTAAGCCTTCCTGCATGTTAGTATCACCCGGGGAGTTTTTAAAGAAGAAGGTAAAAAGGGGTCAACTATATGGTGATGGAATGAAACTAGACTTTGGGTGATGAGCACACAATACAGATTTTGTATTATATAAAGTTGTACACCTGAAATTTATATAATGTCTTCAACCAATGTTATCCCAATAAATTTAATTTAGTATCACCCGGGGAGTTTTTAAAGAAGAAGGTAAAAAGGGGTCAACTATATGGTGATGGAATGAAACTAGACTTTGGGTGATGAGCACACAATACAGATTTTGTATTATATAAAGTTGTACACCTGAAATTTATATAATGTCTTCAACCAATGTTATCCCAATAAATTTAATTTATAAAAGAAGAAATACTGATGCCTGCCTGGGCTTTACTTCCGGCCAATTAAATCCCAGTATCTGCAGGTGGACCTCAGTATGTTTTAAAAGCTCCCCAGGGATTCTAATATGCGTCCAGCGTTGAGAACTACCCTGTTTTCTTCCCTCTCTGTCAGGGCATAGCAACTTTTCTTTTTAATCTTTATTGTTGAAAGTATTACATAAGTCTCCCTTTCCCCCCCTATTGACCTCTTCCAGCCTGCTCATAGCAACTCTTTTTTAAAAAATGAAAGCAGATAAAGTAGAAGCCAGGGCTCCAGACCTGCCCAGCTCAGTCCTGCCCCTGCTTGCCTCCTGGGCACATGAACATTTGTTCAGTCCGGGGTTGGATGTAAGCTGGGGGCACTTAGAGGTAGAGAACATGATTTGATGATAAGTTTTCAAAAGTTCTTCTTTTACTATTGAGGAAATGAGCCCAAGAAAGGGATTCCAGAGTGAGTAGAGGAGCCTTTTTTGCCTGTGTACTGTAATTTGCAATTGGGTGGCTTACATCATGATACTCATGAGTGATTGTGATGATGGGTTGCCAAGGCTTTGTCAGAACAAAAATACCCAGACTCCCATTGGAGATCCTAAACCTGACTTGGGGAGGTCTTCCCCAGGGAGCAAATTTCCTTTCACTGCACACCATCCCTTCTTTCCTCCACCTCCTGGGACCTACCTCCTGGGATCCTGTTGGCACTGGGGTTAGAGTGAGGCTGTGTTTATGACATGATGCAGGTGAGCTTGGGGCTTGGGGATTGCTGACTCTATAGGCAATTAATTGGATCTACATATAAATCTCATTTTCCATCTCAGACAATGCTTAAGAAAGTCACATAATTTCTCAGATATCAAATGCTTTAAAATGTCAGTCATCTGCACACTCCATTTGCAGAGGATTTTCAGTCCTGTGTTCATATATTTGAAGATATTTTGTATTTACCTCATAGTCCAACTTTTTCATAAATTATTTATGGAAATTAGCTCACTAAATTAAACTAGTCTAGCCGGAAAAAAAAACAGCAAATAGTGCATTTTTTTAAAAAAAATTAAGAGTATGAGCAACTAACTACACCATGATGATACTTGAAGTATGGGTGGGAAATAGTATAAGCCTCAAAAATATGTGTATAAATAAACAGAAGATATAAAGAAACAGACTTTTAGGTTAATATGCAAAAAGGATCCAGGCAATCTACCAGCATAAGATAGAATATGCCCTCATTATCCAGGCAGTATCATCTACCAGGATTTCTTCAGGGTTGAGGAACCAAATAGTCACCCTTTTTGATGTTCAGCCTCACTCTTGTCAGTGAAGGATTCTGTCTGCCTGGACAAGTATCCCCATGGGCTCCATCAGGGAATAAGGAATCTCAACTTGCCTCTCTAGTCAAGAGCCACAGAAACCCCCTCAATAACAAAAGAATAAGCCTAGAGCTTATATCAAAGGATAGGAAGTTTTTTAAATATCTTAGGGAAAATAAGTTTTGTTATTCACTAATTTTGATTTAAGAAGCTATCAGTTTTAAAATGAGACCACATCATGTATCTAATGAGAAATCTGATTTCTGTTTTGGGACAGCTATAGAAGAGGCCAAGTAAATATTTTAGTGTGATCTGTGTATCTCCCAGAGAGTTCTGAAAGTCAAGCCTTGAGTTCTGCTATCACTCTGCTTAAGTCTCCCGTGTGTTAAATTCCAAAGTTGATGCTGGTTTATAAAGGTTTAGTTTCATTGATATTATTATTCCCATGGAAAGTTTATCACTTTTCCTCTGTTTAAAAGTGGTGATGTTGATGCATAAATAACTATGATTTTATTGATTTAAAAGACAATATGAAATAACTGTAAATTAACTAGAATTTATATATATAAAAGCCAAGCAACTGGAACGACTGGAACAACTGGAATGACTGGTTGCTGTGACATGCACTGTGGCCAGCCAACTGGCTCGATAAGGGGTGGGGCTGCCTGGCCAACCTCCTGCGGCCCTCCCCCTGGCCGACCCGGCCCCCGATTGGCCCCCCCACCCTGATCGGGGGCAGGGCCGGCCTGGCTGACCTCCTGTAGCCCCTCCCCTTGGCCAGCTGGCCCTGATTGGCCCTTGGGATGGGTCAGCCAGACCCCACCCATGCACAAATTCATACACCAGGCCTCTAGTATTTATATAAATTTAAAACTAACTTCCGGAATTTACTGGATAATTAAAGCTTAATTGCAGAGGTCAGAAATCTTAAAGATTGTCTAACCATCTATTACCCTCATTTTACAAATGAGAAAGTCACTCTGTGTAATTTTGAAATTCTCACTTTTTCCCTCATCTGCAGTGTTGTGATTATTTACATCTTATAGATTATATATATATAAGGCTAATATGCAAAGTGTTCCTTGGGAGTTCCACTGGGAAACCAGGAGTTCGCTCGCTCACTATGATGTGCTCTGACCACCACGAGGTGGTGCGGAGCTAAGGAAGGCCCTGGCCAGCAGCTGGTGAAAGAAGGCCCCAGCTGGCAGCTGGAAGACCCTGATTGGCCCTGATTGCCGACCAGGCCTAGGGACCCTACCTGTGCACAAATTTCTTGCACCAGGCCTCTAGTTTTAAAGTAAAATAAAAAGATTGAGACTGGCCCCTGCTAGTTTAATGGTTATTTAAATCACTTAACTTTGGAGTATTGGTACAGGTTGTAAACCTAGTACTTTGCATTACAGCCAGGATGAAAATGAAAGGAATGGCAAATTTAGAAGAAATAAGTGTGTACACATGTATGCACATGCATACAAATCTGTATGCACAACTATCCTTTCTACTTGATTACATGAGCGTTACTTCTATTTGTTTGCCATAAACTTCTCTTTTTAAGTGGAGTGGACAATCGATCTCAGCAGAGTTGTTTTTGACACCAAGTCTGTTCTTCTGATTAGCCCTTCCTCCCTGCCCTCACTATCTATGCACCCCTCTCTCTATTTTGAAGATAATCATTCAGAGGAGGGAGAAGACGCAAGGCTCTAGGTGTCTTGCATAGTTGTATGCAGTTAGCACTGAGCCACTTTGTTTGCTGTGTCTGTGTCACCATGTGCAGACAACCATGTGGGCCACTTAAAACCATTAAGACCTTTATTTCTGACTTACATTAGGCAAGATAACTCTAACCCAAGTAGAAACTAGATTTACTGTTATTTTCTCTTATAAGTAAGATTCTTAAGGCCTGAAATTCTCAGAAGTATCTTCTAATGGGTTCTTTGTTTTATTTTCCCCATTTACTAGAAATCATCAGAAACTTGATATCTGCATTACTTCATTTAAAAGTGTACATATATTTGATTAGATTTCGAATGATCTAAGATAATCTCCACATTTTAATAATGATTATATTGTCCTGGAAGAGTCATCGACTCTATCTACAAAACAGTCTATTTCTGTATGTGAACCAGAGCATGTCACAAATGTTAGATATTTTCTTTGAAAATAATGAAGAATCTAAAGTTTAAATGTTGGAGGATCTGAGAAAAATGGAGACATAGAAGGAACTCTGAAGTCAGAAAGAGCTGGTCTGAGTACTGTTAACTTTGTTCTAGCTGTGTGTCTCAGCGAGCTACCTCACATCTTGAGCCGATATAACATTTATATTTCCTATCTTTGAGGATTAAGTGAGGTCCTGGGCCCACAGTATCTAATAGATACTGTTAGATACTGGCTTCTCAGTTAGGCATTCAGTAATGGTAGTTATTGTTTGTGCTGTTCTTAATAGGAAGATTCTTTTCTCACTATCATCATACACAGTAGGAAGTGTGACTTTGGGCAGGCTGTGAAGACCCGGAGAGAGAGGGCATTCCAGGTAGAGGTAAGGAATATATGCAAAATGGAAGGCATAGAATTTCATGTTTCATTTTTCCTCCCACAGAATTGCTAAAATTGGAATGAATATGGTTGGTGGTTAGAAAAAGTTGAACTTGTGTTCCAAGGAATTCTTTTCCTTTTCTTCAGTTACCCCAGCTTCCCCTGTAAACCTAGAAAACAGGAAATATCAGAAACATCTTTTTTCCCCTTTCCATCTTTCTTTCTTAATACTGACACAGACTTAGGTAGGCAGTCTGATTTTGAGATCCATATTTGATTCTTCAGGCACAGCGATGTTTGATTCTGGAGTGCTCGCCTGTAGTCCAGAACCTTCTATTGACAACAGTGATTACAACCTGACAAGCAGGCAGTGTCCTGGGCATTTGAGCTCACTCTGACTCATCTCCCTTTGTTGGTCTTTGTAAGCTAGGGACCTAGGGACTTACCCAAGTTTCACACACCTGACCTTGCTCTGTAGTTTTATTAAAGATCAGACTTATTTCAAAAGCACTACAGCTCTGAGGAGAACAGCAGGATGTGTAGCTCCAGACTCTTCCTCAGCTGAAGTGCAGTGAGTACAGTCCTTGTGCACAGCCTCCACTGGCTTAAGGAGAAGAGCTCCCACGTCGGGAAACTGTCCATTTCCATTAAGTCAGAGGAATGTTCTCAGGTCCACTAACCACTTCTTCTGTCCTCTCTTGCAGGGAAGCTCCCTTGGAGGCCTAGGCTGAGGTGCGTGCAGATGCCGCCTGGACATCTGTCTGATCCACGTTAACATTTGAGGAGTCACAGAATGCGGTATGTTCATGCAGATGGGGCCTTGCACTTACTTTAGGATCATAAAGGTTACCTGAAACAAGTAGAAATCAGAATGCTGGATGCCTGATGTTGAATTAGGCCAATTGAGAAAGGGTTCTTTTCTACCAGTATTTCTTGTGTTTGATATTTAGATGCTTCAGTTTTACTTTATTGTTCAGTTTATTAAATATGCACATTAAGCTGATACATCAGCTATGACTTATTCTTATACCTTTACACTGATAAGAACATTGTATGTAATCTAAATGTTTCAGAAAAACAAGTCAAGCTGAGGGCCTTAATCCCAAATTATATTTCTACACAGTGTTTTCAACTTCTTTTTTTATTCCTGATATTTATATGGCTCCTTGTGAATTTCAGACACTTCCACTCAGATTATTTAATTGGGGCCTCATAAAAACTCTAAAAACTAAGTGGTGGGTAGCACCAAAGGAGCATTTGTGTATAACCCTGCATCCGGCATCTCCTCTGTCCATCAGATGGAGCCTGTGACAAACTCGGAGTGTAGAGAGGCAAAAGTGATATTTTTTGAAATCTGTTATTCTTTTGTAAAATTCCTCTTTTCTAAAGATTTATTCATACAGAGGCAAATTGTTAATAATGTTTAGCATGCATTATGTGTTTACTTTGAGTCAGGACCACTTTGTGTGAGTTCCTAACTTTTTCAGTCCTCACTGTACCCTCAAAAAGGAACTTAAGCCGAAACCGGTTTGGCTCAGTGGATAGAGCATCGGCCTGCGGACTGAAAGGTCCCAGGTTCGATTCCGGTCAAGGGCATGTACCTGGGTTGCGGGCATATCCCCAGTAGGAGATGTGCAGGAGGCAGCTGATCGATGTTTCTCTCTCATCGATGTTTCTAACTCTCTATCTCTCTCCCTTCCTCTCTGTAAAAAATCAATAAAATATATTAAAAAAAAAAAGAACTTAAAAAAAAGTAATCTCATAGCATGAGGCTTAAAAGACTAAAATTTTATTTCAGTATATATTACGAATTACCAAGAATTCAGTTCCAAATCTTATACTTTCATTCACTTATTCAGATATTAATTCAGCATATGAAGTACCTACTGTTTAAGCTAGACAATATTGATAGGCAAGTGGATTGGACATAGCCCATGATTTTGAGGTGTGCACCCTTTAGTAAAAGAATCTATACTTACATTGAGTGCTAGATATATAGTATGAAAAGCACTATAACAGATTTGCTTGAAAATATCTCATTATTAGCCATTTGTACAGTGACCATTATTCTTGATGCCTAACATTGAGTATTTCAAGATCCACAATAAATAAAGATTGTATTGTGTTCATTATACTTACCACAGAGTGTACTGTACCAGCACTTCTGGCCCCCACACTACCCAACTTATGAAAAGGAGGGTTGTTTTTGTTTGACTTCCTGAATATTTCTGGAAATGAATAGCCTACTACCCAGCAAATCAACCCATTCCATTATTTTGTGTTAATGGTTGAAATGTTATTCGTAATATTTTTGATATGAGATTATGATTTCATATTATATGCCAATTGTTCCTAACTTTAGCCTCTGGAGAGATTAAAAATGAGATCAATTCAACTCAGCCTATTTCAAGGGATATATTTTAAGAATCTGCTAGGGTCAGAAACTTGTAGCTGCTAAGGGTTAATTTCTTTTTCATAGAATAGCATTTCAAATATTTGATGGTAGTTATGTTTTCCTAAATATATAAGGGAAATAACTTACCCTATTTAAGGTAATTAAACTGCTACCATACTAAACCTGATAAATTTCTATAAAGCAATAAATTTGACTTCAATTTTTTAAAAATATATTTTATTGATTTTTTACAGAGAGGAAGGGAGAGGGATAGAGAGTTAGAAACATCGATGAGAGAGAAACATCGATCAGCTGCCTCCTGCACACCTCCTACTGAGGATGTGCCCGAAACCAAGGTACATGCCCTTGACCGGAATCGAACCTGGGACCTTTCAGTCCGCAGGCTGATGCTCTATCCACTGAGCCAAACTGGTTAGGGCTTGACCTCAGTTTTTTTTTTTTTTAATTTTTTAAATTTTTTTATTTTTTTTATTTTTTTTAGATCTCAGTTTTTGATAACACTCATGGGCTAGTTGAAGAGTTTTTCCCAATTGACCATGAAGACAGAGATGTCCTCCCACCTTTGTGCAGATTACCAATGATTGTGTTAAAATGCAAACAAGTCACTTGCCCCAAACTGTTAGTAATTGTGGTATGTGAGTTTGGTATAAAAGATAAACCTGAAATAATAATGGGGGAACCTGTCCTGGATCTGCCAATTTCAGCAAGCCACTCAATTTCATTAGACTTCAGCTAATTTACCTATAAAATGAAGGTTATAGTAATCTGTGCAAGGACTCTCACTCCAAATTGTAGGTTGGAATCTTGTGTTTGGTGGCCTGGGCTCTAGATTGCATAGCTCTGAGGCCACTCAGGTCGTGGGAATATTCCTTTCACACATGCAGCAAACGTGGTCACAATCATGCATGCTTCTGTGGTAGAACTATGTCCTATGAGGCTGACACTTCTCCTAAGGTAGGAAACATTATCATTCCCATATCAAGGAGGAGAAAGCTGGAAAAGAAGGTTGTGGGACATGTGTGTTACATGCCGTTGAGTTGGCTGTGACTCCTGCTGACCCTATGAATGAGTGATGTCCACAGTGTCCTGTCTTCACAGCCCTGCTCAGCTCCTGTAGACTCATGCCTGTGGCTTCTTTTATGGAGTCAATCCATGTCGTATTTGGTCTCCCTATTTTCTTGCTGCCTTCTATTTTTCCAGCATTAATGTCTTCTCTAAAGAATTCTGCCTTCTCATGATTTGCCTGAAGTAGGACAGTTTCAGTTTATCATTTTTGCCTCCAGAGATGTTTCAGGACTAATTTACTCTAGGACACACTTGTTTGTCCTTGTGGTGGTCCAGGGTGTCCATAAAGCTCTCCTCCAACAACATATTGGAAAGGAATCACTATTTTTCCAACAGCTTTCTTCACTGTCAGATTTTCACATCCATACTCAGTAATTGGGAAGATGAGGGTGTGGATGGTCTTGGTCTTTAACCCCTAGAGTGCCGGGGAGCGCGATTGCGCTCCTCCTGTCTGTCGCCAAAAGTGCCGGGAGCGCTATCACACTCCTCCTGCAGTGTCCAGTTCTAAGTCTGCTTTTATTAGTGATGATGATATTGCTAAATATGTCAATTCTTGCTGTGAAGATGATGATTTTGTGGAAGATATTGAATATGTAACTTCATTTACTTGTGATTCATAATTTTTTTCCTAAACAGCTGTAAAATCAGCAAAAATTCCTTGGCAATTTTAGCATAGTTCCTAGGATATTGGTTGGCACTCAAAGGGTTGATGACACATCTGTGCTCTTGGTGATCTTTCCTAGTTCTTTCATTGCTGCCCTTCTGTACACAAGGTCAAAGTGAAGAGGCAGAGACAGGGTTGAAGTCACCTGATTCTTAGCTGCCCACCTCTGGACTGCTCTGGGGGGTGGGATGGGGTAAAAGACTCACCTACTCCTAACTCTGAACTGCAAGTAGTTTCTGGAACATTTGGTTATCTTAGAGGTAAATATTTATTAACAGGGCAACTTTGATATGCAAAACTATAGAAACAACAAAAACACATTAATCCATAAACATGTGAACTGCACATGAGCATGCGTGTTGCATGCTTGACATCCTTCTTTTCTAAGAGTGTCTTCTCTTTTAGTTCACATGTGTTTAGTTGTTCATTAATATTGTCTTTTTAAATTTTGTGAATGATTATATTTATTATTTCTTTATTTTTCCCTTCCTTAATGCTTATCCTTACTACTTCTTGCAACTTATCTATTTCAAATTCCATAAAATTTACCACATCATTGGTAAATTTTGTTTCATTGGCTTCTTAATTTGTATTCTTGACTTTTTGCTACATGCTGGTTTCTGCTTCTTTAAACATTGTAAGTACATCCAGTAAACAATAGATGCTTACTTAATCTTCACAGTTTATATTCCCTGATTAGAAGAAGTGAGTGGAAAAAAAAAATCAGTGCCCAGAGTCCAGTGTCTGCCAATTTGAGGATATAAATAAAAAACCCTCATAAACATACATCAGCCAAAGGGATGTACAATAAAGGCTTTTACTCAGCTCAAAACTAACTAGCTAATAAACTTGGAGGTACAATTAAATGGGTGGGAAAAGCAACCTGGCCATAGAGCAAGGTGCCAGTAGAAGTTTGAGGAAGAGACTTATTGCCTCCCTCCCTGACTTGCCCTGCCCTTCCTTTCCTCCCTCCCTTCATCCTCTCCTTCCACCTCTCTTTTCCTCTCTCTCCTGCTGCTGCTTCTGTGTTCAGTGCTCAGTCATGACAATAATATGTGAGTTTTGATATGGAAGAAACATTATTTTCCTCTGCACTCTAGACTACAGTCCAATTCAGTAATAGTCCTAAAATATAGGAAAAGTAAATGCTCTTAGCCTTAACATCTCAACCATAGAACAAAGGGAATTAATTTGTCATCTGTGCCCAGACCAGAAACCCTTAGTGGGACTTACAGTCACAACTGTCAAGATATGAAGAAATATTAAATGACTGAGAGGCCTGAAAACAAAGGTGCACTCTGGAGATGGCTTCCTTTTTCTTAACAATCATTTTTAAGTGGCTGGGGTCAAATATGACAGCTGAGATGATCCAGAGCTATCTCCTTCAGCTGATGCCTAAGTCACAGTGATTCTGGGATTGAGTGGTAGGCAACTCAGAGATGGCCTCTGGGGAACCATGTACCTCCCTGAGGGGTGGGTACAGCCCCTAGCTTCCCAAGGCAGTGTAAGGAGTCACTTGTGTCAAGAGCAAGCCAACAGGATATGTGATGAGATTAGAATGAGAATAGGAGAGATATCCTCTGGCATTAGTAAGGTCCTATGTGGTGGCATATGTCTTCCTTCTGCACAACTTGGCTCTCTACCTGAAGGTGG